CATAACAATTGAAGTCTTATCTTATCTTAATTCCATCGATTCTAAAGGACTCTGAGCAGATGTAAATAATTGGACTGTCACTTCCTGTGATGAGTTTCAACAAATGTATTTACCTCACTGTCTGCTTTGTGTGACCTGAGTGTCTGTATGTGTGTTGCTGTGTGTACCTGTCTGTGTGCTTTCTGTGTTACTGTGTCAGTCTGTGTGTTTCCTGTGTTACTTTCTGAAACTGTGTCGGTTTTCTCTGCGTTGTGGCGGGGTGGTGCGGCTAGGTGTAAGAGGTCGGGTGGAAAGATAAACAAAGGAAAAACAACAAAATACACCAAATCTGAATTAATGTAAACACAAATCAATAAACAAATTAAACCAAATTAAAGTAAATGTAAATATCATCATTGCACTCATTTATCTATTTACCCACCAGAGGTCGCCAGCAGACATGGCAGTGTCCAAAGACACTGAACCAGGGCTCTAGGTTTTCTGTTTGATTTTAAAATAGGTAAAATATACTATTGCTACGAGGGATGCTACTAGAAAGAAGAATAAACGAGAACTAGAGAATGCAATTCCTGAAGAAATTGCTAGTGGGAATGCTTTATGCTGAAAAGCTGACGCTGAACTGCTATGCTGAAATGTAATGTCTAAGAAGAAAGTGAAGAATTTAGATTGAAATGATACATGAACACTGGGGGCTTGAATGTGTGATGAGAGAAGAAAAGAAAGTAAAAAGGCTTGGAAAAGCAGCAGAATATTTGAACTGCAAACTTTTGAACTAACTTGATGGCGAATGATCTGTCGCCATGCCAACGGCATTTGATGACATCCCATAATACGCTTAGATGCGTTGATGGCTGCATCGTTACCAAACCTGTGTAGTTTTGGGCCGTTTGGAGCATTTTCCCTGAAGTTATGAGAAAACCGTGTTTCATGGCGAGCATTGTGTTGCCATGGCAACGGCATTTGAAGAAATCTCAAAACTGTCCCGTAGATGTCTTCACGGCTGGACTGTTGGCATGTGAAGTTTTAGCACTTTTTGACAATTTTCATAGGAGTTATAGCAATATCGTGTTTTATTGCAAGGGATGGCAACAGCTTTTGAGGAAAACTCACTAATGGCACATAGACATGTTAAGGACTGGACCATTAACTGTCATCTGAAGTCTGGTGGTGTTTGGACCATTTGCATAGGTATCATCACAACATCGTGTTTTATGGCGAGGGATGCGTTTCCATGGAAACAGCCTATGGTGAGATCTCAGATTTGGCGTAGAGCTGTTGAGGCATGAACCGGTGATATACAAGCGAAGTTTGGGGGCGATCGGACCGTGTCCATTGGAGTTAAAGCGACATCGTGTTTCATGGCGAGGGATGCGTTTCCATGGAAACGGCATATGATGACACCCCATAATTGACATAGAGCTGTTGAGGGCCGGACCATTAACCATTATCTGAAGTCTGGTGCTGTTTTAGAGCATTTGCATAGGTATCACGACAACATCGTGTTTTAAGGCGAGGGATGCGTTTCCATGGAAACGGCACATGGTGAGATCTCAGATTTGGCGTAGAGCTGTTGAGGCATGGACCGGTGATATACAAGTGAAGATTGGGGGACGATTGGACCGTGTCCATTGGAGTTACAGCGACATCGTGTTTCATGGCGAGTGGTCTGTCGCCATGGCAACGGCATTTGATGACACCCCATAATACACTTAGATGCGTTGATGGCTGCATCGTTACCAAACCTGTGAAGTTTTGGGCCGTTTGGAGCATTTTCACTGAAGTTATGAGAAAACCGTGTTTCATGGCGAGCATTGTGTTGCCATGGCAACGGCATTTGAAGAAACCCCATAATTGACGTAGAGCTGTTGAGCTAACGACGACAGCTGTGTGTCACCAATATTGTATAAAATTGGTGGAACATGTTGAAGTCAGTATGAAGTCTCCATCAGACAGAAAATAATAGGCTCAGACAGTGGGTGTTTCTCAATCGCGAGTACGCTTGCTTGGTAGCACATGTCTGCCGAGCATCTTGCTTCAGAAGCGAGTCAAGAATACTTCCTGGCATTCGGAAAACACTAGCCTCATCCCAATACCCCTCCTCGACTCCTCTCTTCCCCTCCTCCGGGACTTGACCCGGAAATCGATCAAGACACGCCATTTTGAAGGACGTCCCAATAGCTGAAATGCACACGGAGGAGTCGAGGAGGGGTGAGGGAGGAGACGAAAGGGAGGATACACGAGAGCAGACTACGCGGAAGTGTTTTCACTACTCGCATATAAAAGCCCCGCCCCCACCTTCACAGCTGGTCGATTTCAACACAGGAAAACGGAGAACTGGAAGAATGAGTGGAAAAGCGTCACATAAATGTATAAGTGCTCACAGCTCCGTGGGAATTATTATGTGCAATTCATTTCTTAAGGTTATAGGCTACTAACAATTTAAGTCATGTTTAATGATCTTGAACGTCACTAAAACATAGCTATTAAGAAAGCTATTTCATAAATGGCTAGATCTTGATAAATAACAATTATTTGTTTTGTTTTGTGTTAAGATATTCAGGAGTTCAATTATTTAAAATTCACAGTCCTGAATGTGGGTTTGTGGTAAATGTGGGGATCTACAGGACACACATTTTCAGAGTAAAGGCTTTCACATTATTATAATTATAATTTTATTGAAATGTACATTTTACACCAAAACGGAACACAAAAGCAGGACCAACCATCATACATTGAATTCCTTGACTAAAAAGAGAAAGATTTATCATTTAAATACATATTTAACAATAAATGGGCCGGTTCTAAGGGGTTATTCAGTTAAACCCAATGAGAGGGGATACAGCTGTGCACATGTCATCATTAACAGACGTCGTTTAAGAGTGACGTTTGAGTGAACGAGGACATCCCAATTAATACCTGAGGACTCCTCTGTCCTCGCGTCACCTCCTCGTGTCTCTCGCTCGCATCTTACGGAGGCGGAGCTAAGACGCAAGGAAGGGACGCGAGTGAGGGAAAGGAGGAGTCGAGGAGGGGTATTGAGACGAGGCTGAAGAGTGGAACAGGCTAGCAAGTGTGCAGGTGTGCGTCATATGAGAGGCCCCGCCTTACATCTTCCGCCACAGATTTGGGGAAATTGGTCCGTGCGCAAAGCATTGTGGGGATTTTAAGACCGCGGAGTCTACTCATGTGCAGCCTCGATATTTCTCCAAACGGAGTACGCCGGGCTCGGTAGATTTCCAAGTATGCTGGAGATTGGAACAGTACTTCGGCGGCACTCGGTGACGTAGTATGCTTGAAATAGTGGTTCTGCAGCGGCTTTACTCGCGATTGAGAAACACCCACAGTCTGTTAAACTCCAGTGACCACGTCGTTAGCTCAAACACGAACACCTGTGTGTTATGACATCATCGTGTTCCATGACACAGGTGTTTATATTTGAGCTAACGAGGTGTGCAGAGATCAAAGGTTTCCATTGTTCTGAATGAGAGATAAACCTCACGTTTTGTCGAAGAACTGTAACAGATATCTGTGCAATTTCAAAACGTGAAGCATCTCAAGGACCTTGAGTATCTGAAGTGTAATTTTTGTGTACTTTCGGGTTAATAATGTGGCCTTTTTGGCAGTTTAACTAAAGGTGTGCGGCTGCTGCTGTGAGGAAATATCAGCCTGAAATTACAATGGGCTTTAATGGAGGCATGTTGAACGTTTTTGTCACTTCATGCCCTCAAGAGGCATTTTGTTTAATTATTTTTTGCTTAATTATTTGTAATTTTTCAAGCTACGAGATGTTTTCCTACATTTGTCATGAAAAATGATGTCTCAGGAATATAGGGTTTGGGAATTATGGCAGTTTAAAAAAAAAATATGAAGGCAAATGTCAAGATTTCCTCCACTCTAGCTGTGACATCACGCACTCTAGTTAATGTTAAAATCTGAAGAAAGCCTTTTTACCAAGGTCTGAACAATGTTTAATATCTCTAAAAGTAAGAATCAGATTTAAAGGTTGTGTTACACGAATAATGTCAGAAAGATGTGTAACATTTTAAAGTTGGAATGAGGTTTCTGAGTGAAAGTATGAATGAACAGTTAGCAGTTGAAGTCGCATGAAGATTTTGAAGATTTGTTGAAGTCTGAAGAATTTCTCCATTGACTTCAATGGTTAAAAATGTGATGAATTATGGGATGTATCTCTGGAATTATGAAAGTTATGAATGATAAAAGTAATAGCCATCGATTCCCGACCGAGCTGAACATTTTGATGTTCGAACGGAGTTTCTGCGATGTGGAATGTGGGAGGAGAAAGCCGGCAAAATAACGGGCGGAATCAAGATTTTGAATAACAGATAGTTGGAATGCTGTCAACAGCATTCCCACTAAATTATGAAGGAAACTTCTTCCATGACATAGATCAACATCAACATGTTAAATCAATAAATAGCTCCAACAATAATTATTGGAACATTTTGTGTCTGATTCCTTCCAGTCCACTTGATTATGTGTGTGTTCACGTCTCAGTGTTCTGCATTTCTCTACAAACAGAAGCAACCTGACCGCAGAGAGAACAGAGAAGAAACAAACCAAGATAATTGATATGGCATTTTCCATTTTCTCTTATAATTAATTTGGTTCTCTTCATCCTGTTCAGTTAAACTGCCTCGTGGTTTCACAGGTTAATGCCTTCCTGTTCCTTCACTACACCTGCAGACTGTGTGACGTCCTCAGTGCTCATAGAGATCAACTGTTATTCTCCTCTTAATTTGAATTCTCTTGTTTCAGTGGTATATCGGCAGCAAAACAAGTTTTAACCATAGTTTATTTTGTATAAGAAAAGTTTATACTTTGTAAAACAACAACACTTTACTGAGTAGTGGGTGTTAACTGGCATTTTGTTGTGTAGTGGGTGTTACTGGGGTTTGGCTCATCATGCATATTAATAATCTAAAGAGGAAGTAAATCTAGTCTCTTAACAGCCTGATATCCGTATTCTGCTCATTGGTGACAGAGGAAAGGCATCTTTAAACACATCGTTATTCCTTCAGTGTAAGTATAAACAGTTTATTGATGTAATGATTCTGTATACCTCCTGTGAACATTATTTAATCTGACATGTTTTATAGTCTCACAGAGATGAGAGGAGCAGCTATGAGTTTAACTGCAGCAGCGAGTGGATTAGTTGTCTTCCTGCTCTCTGTGTCAGGTACTGTACATCTACACTTACATTCATCACATGAACAGAGGGGATTCTGGGAAAATGTGGGACTTGTAAAAGCAGGTCATTTGTAGAAATAAGTGGATCGGGGTTGGATGAAATGCAAACTTTCCAGAAATATTCCAAATATATGTTTTGTGTAGCTTTGTTGAAACGGGTAGTCTTTTAGTGTTACATGTAATGGATACTTGTAAAAATGTATTTCCTGTATTGGTCAACGTAATTTGAACACAAAAGTAACTGTGTGCTTATTACTCTTACACGCTTCAATCTGAGAATATTGTTCATTCATAACTGTTCCCTCCTCACCATGTTATAACATTTTGCTATGTTGTATTTTTAAGATGAGCCTGTTTAAAAAAATGTTTGTAGTTTTCATAAAAATGTTAGTGTTTTCGAGGGATATTTTCTTACTAGTCATTTCATACTGTCTCAACTTCTCTCATGTCGCCACTCTGCACCGAACCCTTCTAGTTCCTTCTCTACTCTCTGACTGTTATATTTCCACACTGTGAGTTAAAAGCAGTCTTCTTCTTTTTCTTATCTGTATATCAGACAGAAGCTGCTCACACCTCAGTGCTCAGTATTTACTGATATTTTCACACTTACCTCAGCAGCAACCTGACCACAGAGCGAACAGAGAGGGAACTGTTCAGAGAATCACACACTATTCTAATTAATATGATCGCTAATCATTCACAGTTCATTTATATGAAGGCATTTTCCAATCTCGTGTCAAACTGAACATACCCTTTTTGTGTAGACTTCTGTTCTGCCTGGTTTGATTAAGAAACAACAAAGTCAAAGAGTATCATTGGTTTTAAAGTGCCTAAGAAGGAATTCACATGTGTTTTTCTGCTCTATCCCAGTAACGTTTGTAAAATGTTTATTTTTACATTCTTTGTTGAAAGTACTGATCAGGCAATTTCTCAACAATTTATAGATTATCTTTGATTCTAGTTTCTGATGTGCTCTGTGTTTCAGTGGTTCAGGGTCAGGATGGCTGGGGAGTGGCTTACTCTTCTACTAAGATCTGTGCAGTGAAAGGATCAACAGTGGAGATAAGATGCAGCTTCACATACCCATCTACATGGAATGGTGGTGTTAACACAGTAGTGAAAACATTCTGGTTCACTAAATGGAAAGGTGGTGTACGTGTAGATCTGACCACAGACTCAGAGTATGCAGGTCGTGTAGAGGATCTCGGTGAAAAGAACATCTGCACTCTGAGAATCAAAAACCTGAGAGAGAGCGACTCAGCTGAGTACAAGTTCAGGTTTGAAACAAACCAAGCAGGAGGAAAATATAGTGGTTCACCTGGAGTCACTTTGTCCGTCACAAGTAACAATTTTCAATGATATGTTAATGATTTATTAATGTTTTGGTTAAAATAATAATATGCGTGTGTTTTGAGAGTTTTTGTCTTAAATAACATTCATGTTCCTTCACAAATCCAGATCTCCAGGTCACATCAGGTACAAACTGGCTGTCTTGTCAGAACAGTTATCCTCAATCTTATAATCCTTCCTACATCTGGTACAAGAACGGACAAATAATTCAGGGGGAAACATCTTATTATACAAGCAACCCAAACAATGCAGACAGTTATTCCTGTGCTTTGAAGGGATATGAGGACTGTCCCTCTCCTGCAGTGTGTGAGTTTACTCTTACACACATACATTGACATTACAATGACGTTATAGACATACTGTACATAACCATACCGGAGTCTTCTAAAGTACATTACATCAGTTTCATTTTTATCCGGGCAACTTACAATAAGTGGAGACAACCATAAAGATAAAAACAAGTATCCTACAAGCATTTTAGCTTTCAATAAACCCAACATGTTACATACATAAATTACTTTTTTATGAATACAAATGTGTACAGTTCTTTTTTAATGACATTTTGAAGTATAAAAACGTTGTTGCTGCATTAACTGTTTGATGTTATACAGTTTATTTTACTTAGATGCTCTATTAAAGCCAGTTCACAGAGAGAAGCATGAGTTTTGAAGCCATTAACATTAAGATTAAGCAAATTTAGTGGCTTTCTCCATAAGCAGAAATCTTTGATTTTACACCTGATCAAATTACAATATAGATGACTAGGGATAGTTTAAAATAAATTATAAAATAGTCAATCATGCGTCATAAAAAAAATATAATCTTTAACATGAATGTTTTCTTCCAGATGGTCCAAAGCTCCCCTCTGTGTCAGTGAGTCCCTCTGCTGAGATAGAGGAGGGCAGTTCAGTGACTCTGACCTGTAGCAGTGATGCTAACCCAGCAGCTAACTACACCTGGTACAAGAAGAATGGAAATCAGAAACTTACTCCTCTCACTACAGAACCAAAGCTTTTCTTCAGCCCCATCCAGTCCTCTGACTCTGGACAGTATTTCTGTGCGGCTGAGAACGAGCTGGGGAAACGGACATCTGAAATGATCTCTGTTGATGTGAAATGTGAGGAAATACAGTTTATCAATTGTAATTGTCATGTTTTAATCACTTGAAAAGGTTCTTTCAGGGTTCTCATACTTACTTCAATTTCACATTCTGCTAATTTTGAGAACCTTGATGGAGAGATGTTTTCCTGATGAGCTGGGTGCAATTTTTCATTAATCGTGCAAACTAATCTCTTCCAGTTGCTCCAAAGCTCCCCTCTGTGTCAGTGAGTCCCTCTGCTGAGATAGAGGAGGGCAGTTCAGTGACTCTGACCTGTAGCAGTGATGCTAACCCAGCAGCTAACTACACCTGGTACAAGAAGAATCAAAATGAACACCTTTCTTCTGTCAATGAAGCACCACGTCTCGTCCTCAGCTCCATCCAGTCCTCTGACTCCGGACAGTATTACTGTACGGCTGAGAATAAGCTGGGGGTGAAAACATCTAAAAACATCTCCATTGATGTGAAATGTGAGTGGAACATTGTTTGAAAGCTTTAATCTTTCCAGTCTTTTGCTGGAGAAGATTTCTATGATCTTTACTACTTTCTTCAGCTCTATAGCTTCTCATTCACTGTCTGCTGTAATTCTCTGATTAGCTTCAGGTGATTTTAAGATGCTTAAAATGATTTTTTAAAGGACATTTATTGACAATAATTACCTAAAAATGTATCGATTTATCCAAATGTATCCATATATCCAAAATGCAACATCTGATAAAGCCATGTTAACATTTAAAACATAGTGATGTGAATGACACGGGTCTCTCTGAATCTCCAGATGCTCCAAAGCCTCCCTCTGTGTCAGTGAGTCCCTCTGCTGAGATAGAGGAGGGCAGTTCAGTGACTCTGACCTGTAGCACTGATGCTAACCCAGCAGCTAACTACACCTGGTACAAGGAGGATGAAGACTCTCCAAAAGCTTCAGGACAGATCTTCAACATCACTGACTTCAGAGCTGAACACAGTGGGAGTTATTCCTGTGGAGCCCAGAACAAGTTAGGACGTAGTAACTCCACCTTTCATCTGAGTGTTGGAACAGGTACATGTTATGCATTCATCCACTACTACACACTTATCAGCTTGTTTGTTTTCAGTCACGTTGTCTTGGTAGGAGGCTGAAAAAGGAGTGCGTGTTCAAATGTAATTTTCCGGTTCAGGATAGGGGTTGTTTTCTCTGACATAAGGAAATAATTAAACCGAGGGTCCAGATTCAGTATAGGGTGCAGTCATTCCCTGTGTACTCAGTGAGAGTTGTGTATACACACTCGTTCATCACAAAACTAACAATCTCATAAATGTATTTCCATTTGTTTCAGCACTTGAACATTGAACAAGTGCTACATTATTTTAAAAACAAATTACAGTATCATTAGTTTAGGAATAGGAAGGTTGAAAATAAAGTCTCACACACCCCCTGCTATACTCCAAAGTATCCATACTGTATATGAGAAACAGTGCTGTATCAACTATCTGTTCTCTGTTGATCACTGTTTCTCAGGATCATGGAAGCTACCAGCTGCTGTAACAATCTCTGTTGTTCTCCTGGCTGTCATTTCTCTCTCTGTCTTCCTGTGGATCAGGTGAGCAGATCTGATCATCTTAATTGTTGTTTGTTTAATCAATGAAAGTCAGTTTGTCAGAATTAAAACATTTGATTTGTTTTTTAATAAACTCTCATTAACAGAAGAAAGAGGGCTTCCAGGGACTCCTCTGAGAGTGAAGAGAGAGCGGACAACGGGGAAGAGGTGAGAATAGATACATATGTTAGTAATCTATTACAAAATAAAACATGTTAGATTCAATTTATACTGAGGAGTATTTCATGGTCTTTAAGTGCTTCTAGAAAATGTATCTGACAGAAGAGGACCACTTGCTGCTCTTTTGACATCCTTCTATAAAAGTACATTTCGAACAGAATCTCTTTGATTCTCTTCTTGTCTTTGATTTGAATAAATTCCTTGTACATCCAGAAGTGTTCCTACCTTTTGTCCTTTCCATCATTACCACAGCTGCTGTTGCTTTGGCCTTTTCTGTCCTGGGTCCATTCCTCTGTAAATGAAATATCTATTGATGTAAAAATGTGTAGCTGAAAGTGTTTCCTCCCTGCAGTGTGTACCTGATCAGCCGGAGCAGCAGGAGGACCTTCAGTATGCCACCGTTCACTTCTCCAACAACCGGGCAGACCCTCTTGACTCCAACATGAGAGCAGCTCGGCCCCTCAGACACACGGAGCAACAGGAAGTCTCGGAGTACGCTGCCGTCAAGTTCAGCAGTGCTGCCCCGAGGTGAGCAGGAACATTGTTCATATATCGTTTCATTCCTTTTGCATTATTATTACCTCTAAGAAATACTTCATTTATCTCTCAGGACCAGAGGGCAGGACTCTGAAGAGGATCCAGCTGCATTGTACAGCACGGTCAACAAATCCAGATAAACACAGCAGGCGTTGCATTTATGTTCTAAAATGTCTGTGATTCTTTTACAGTAAAATGTTTAAAAACGGCTTCACTAAGTTTATACATTCAACAGTCTTTATCTTATGTTTTACTTGGAGTGGGTCACCAGTATTGAATATTGAATATACAGTCTTTTCAATTTACATGAGTTTTTTAAACACATATTATAGTATCATTATATTTCTAATTATGCATAGCTATTTATTTTCCGATAAAGAATACAAAAATAAAACTCACTGCAGTACTCCAAAGTACCCCTAGGGGTAGGCAGTTCAGTGATTTGTTTTTATGACTTGCAACCTTTGGATGGACTGTCTTTACATTTGGTTCAAATAGTGGCGCACCAATGATAACTCTTTATTATTTGAAGGATGACCTTTCGTTTGACTACTATTGGATTGAGTGACATGCATCTCCCACAGGATAACATTATATGGTTCAACCTGAATGTTAATATATGCATTATGTTTTTTTAATCTATTTTAATATTCAAATTAATATTCATGAATTAAGTACAAATATACATGTTTGCTATTGAAAAGCACATTGGGATATTACAGAGGAACATAAGTTAGCTGATGTAGTTGCAGTTTCACACTGCTGCCACTAGGGTTTAGTAAAGAGACGTATTTCATTCATAGCAAACTATTTCCAAGAGCTTGTCAACTATAATTCTCTTTTGTGTGTTTACCGACTTTATTTTGTATATCCTTTGTTTTCCTTTTTCATGTTCTGTTTTGTATTGATTTACTTTAATAAAAAGGGTGAAATTGCATTCAAACTAATGTCATAAGCCGTGAATAATGTCCATAATAATGCTATAAGTTAACCTATGATTTAAAAAAAGAAGAATTGTATGTGTTTGCTTTAAAAGTTAAACCCATTGAAACAGTGTTTGTCAAGAAACATTAGATCATGAACACAGGAAAGACAGCCTGTCACACTGAGTGAAGTGTGTGAGTGAGTGAAGTGTGTGAAGTGTGTGAGTGAGTGAGTGAGTGAGTGTGTGTGTGAGTGAGTGAGTGTGTGAGTGAGTGTGTGAGTGAACAAAGTGTGTGACCACAGCACAGCAACAGTCCTGCTCTTCACTGACAGAAATACTGATAGCTAAGCTTTAGTTTGTGCTGCATGTTGTAGTTTGGTTTAATTTTGGTTTTAATATTAAAACAGCCATAATTATTATCATCCTGTTCAGTAAATCTGCCTTATGGTTCACAGGTTTCTTTACTACACCTGCAGACTGTGTGACGTCCTCAGTGCTCATAGAGATGTACTGTTATTCTCTTCTTCATTTGAATGCTATTCTCTGGATTCAGTGGTATAGGAAGAACCTCTCTTTAAGTTTGTATTTCAACAACATTTCTTTCCTGTGTAGTGGGTGTTACTGGGGTTTGGCTCATCATGCATATTAATAGTCTAAACAGGAAGTAAATGTGGTTGTTAACCAGCCTGATATCCGTCTTCTGCTCATTGGTGACAGAGGAGAGGCATCTTTCAACACATGGTTCCTCCTTCACTGTAAGTAGAAACAGTTTATTGATGTATTGATTCTGTATACCTCCTGTGAACATTATTTAATCTGACATGTTTTATAGTCTCACAGAGATGAGAGGAGCAGCTATGAGTCTAACTGCAGCAGTGAGTGGATTAGTTGTCTTCCTGCTCTCTGTGTCAGGTACTGTACATCTACACTTACATTCATCACATGAACAGAGGGGATTCTGGGGAAATGTGGGACTTGTTAAAATCAGGTCACATGTGGGAATAAGTGGGATGGATTTGTGTAAAAGGCAAACCTAGCAGAAACATTTTAAATGTATTTGTGTGTAGAATTGTAGAAACTCAAAGACATTACTAGTTTTTTTGATGGATATTCTGAAGATCTTGTCGTGCGTTGCCACTGTCCTTTGCTCCAATCATCTGCATACAATATCAGTTTGCTTATCACCTTTACAAGCGTTAAAATGAGAATATAGTGTATGCATAACTGTTCCATCCTCTCTCTGTGAAAACATTTAGCTTTGTTTTTTTCTGAAGACAACTTAAAGAATCTCCAGCTCTGTTTTTATTAAAGGGGACCTATCATGCAAAATGCACTTGTGTACGTCTTTTCTACATGAATATGTGTCCCCGGTGTTCCAGGGAACTCACCAAGTGTCAGAAAACACAACCCTCTCTATTTTCCTCCATACCCAAATCTCTAAAAAAGGGGCTGCAACGGATCTGATAAAAACTGATCCAGATTTGAACACTGTCCTGACGTCAGGACGGTGGCGCTACAGCTATTGGGCCAACTCCACCAATCAGGAGGAGACAGCCACG